CGGTGGTCCTACCGGCCCCAATCCTAATGCGGGCCCTCAACAGCAGAAACCCAATCCTAATCAACCAAGTGGGCCGCCCGGTCCCGGCCCCAACCAAGGTCCACACAATCCTCAACAATCACAACCTGCAGGTGCCCAGGGCCCACGCCAGTGAGAAATAAAAAATGTGAGCATCAACGAGTTCCCCAAAGAAATACTATTTGTTCCGCAAAGAATTCCTATTTGAACATGCTTTGTTGTCATATTATTCATAAATAATCCTAAATTATGAGCCAAGCATCTCTGTCATCTTTTTTCCCCCAAATACAGGACCCAATTTATAGCACCTATCACCTATTGCGCAATCTTTCAGTTCTTTCAAAAAGATGCCATTGGCTCCAACTAAATTAAGCTCATATTCGTTCTACTTCATACTTTACAAGATTATGAGACTGAAAACCTGCTGAATGTTTTAATGAGAAAGTAAAAAGCAAAGCTGCAGGAGTAACAGTAAAGTTGGAACTTCGATGTGATCGTACGCGAGAGCTGAATTTGAAATCTTTAGCTCGCACATGTACAGAGAATATTTCTGTAAAGTTTCAGCTTTGCACCTCGCCTGGTTCGCAAAATCGTTACAATCATTATGACGGTAGTAAGGGGAGAAAATACAAGTGAAAATGAAAGAAAAATTGGAAGAATTGTGTAGAAACTGGTGATTTTTTGTTCCATTTTGGTTTCAAGGTATAAAAGGAAAACAAAACAAGCTTTATTATTAATAAACCATCACGATGTGTCGTTGAACTAGCAGTAAATAATTGCTGAATATTGCGATAAATTGTTATTTTGAACAAGCAGTGATTTCCCGACACGTCTTCGATCTTGTTCATTGAACTTTGCACATCCGCCGGTAACCGACTGGAATTCCGGTCGTAAAATCAATGCTTAGAATCCTCTTCCAATGTGTGTTTTTTTAAAAAATGCAACGGAACTGGGGTGGTGTAGGCATGTAAAACTGCCCCTTGCCTCATAAACTGATGCAAAGCTCCTGTTGCTTCACATCGAATATTTCACTGTTTCACATTATTTACAAAATGCTTGCAAGTGCCGATAAAATTTCTCAATCTTCAAATACAGCCTAAATACAGATACATGTGAACTTAAGTGTGAAGAAATTACATATAAACTATGAAAAACTTACTGAAACATGCATGAGAGGGCTGTTTCAGTAGCGTACCTTCCAAGACGGTCTTGTAAAAGTTTTGGCGGGTAAATTATTATCTCGGGAACCACAAGATTTACGAAGCTGAAATTTTAGGTCAATAATCCTTGTCCACGTACGACCTTGCAAACTCAAATTCAGCGTTCTCGCTCTCTCGGGTATCATCTACGGCTCTATGATGGGGTTCTATCCTAGCGATAAATATCAGAATCGTGAAAAAATCGCAAACTGCGTAAAAAGGAGGCAAATGCGTAAAATGTACTCCACAAAGGTAACAAAAATTAGTCCACAGAGTTGGGCTATTTTTTTACAGAAAAATAAACAGTTACAGCATTTTGCCAAAAGTGAGGCTGTTTCGGCAGTTGTAATCAGATGATCAAAGGACGCAATAACAGGGTGCGATTTCAGAACCGCCGTGCACTTTTCTTCTTATTGTCAGAAGCTGAGCACAACACAGGGCTGTGTAAACACTAATTTTGGCGATGAATTCCTCTGCAGGATTGGGCGAGGAAGGCAAGCGAAATCTCTTGTGAGTGGTGTGTGTATATGTCTGTATGTATGTATGTGTGTGTGTGTGTGTGTGTGTATGTGCCATTTCCACCAATGGATGGAGCTGTACACCGAGATCCCGGAAGAAGTCGAAATGTGAAATTGTAACCACTATGTCAGGCTGTTGATGAGTCAGTTTCAGGGCATTCATGTCATTGAGCCAAACTGTCCACCGCAAAAAAGCCCATATTTTAAACGATACACAGAAACTCAGTGACTCTGATCAGAATAAAAAATGAAGTAAATAAACCAAAAAACAAAAAAAAAACACAAAAACAAGTGCTAATCCATAAACATTTTTCATGTTATTTGATTCGCCGTTGCTTAATCAAACGCATTGATGCAGGATTTGCTGAACCACTGGCCGGTCGTTTTCGGCTGCCTGAAAAAGTACGCTGGAAAACTGGAACTAGAACTGTGGGGTTAAGAGGAATTGACCATCTAAAAGTGCAAATAAATACCTGAAAAATTTTTCATATCACATCCCCTTCAACAAAATTTTTTCGCCACTTCAGATCGGAATATAACACTAATTTTCAGCGTTTTGCTGCTAACAGGTGAAATAATCAAGAAGTAAAATAATAGGTAAAATCAAGAAATCAGGTAAATCAGGTGAAAAAATAGAAAAATCAGGTAAAATCAAGAAATTAGCCAACAGGTGAAATAATAAAAAAATAGGTACACAGGTAAAAAAAAAGAGTGAAATCGAGAAGAAATAAATCAGACATACTTGCGTTTGGATCCCCGTCGTGACCGCTAGCCATTTCTTCCACATCTTAATGAAAATTCAATGACAATACAGCCTAGCTTGATGACAATACAGCCTAGCTCAATGATTCGTAATAAATTCGTTTTGAACACAATCAGCGGCTCCACTGCTCTATATATCGTTAATAGAGACATTTTAAGTAAAGTAGTAACATTGATATAATAAGATTTTTACGAACCTGTTAACAGGGTAGCTGGGTTTTCTTCGGGATTTTCGATTTCGGGCGATATCGGCAAAAACCACAATGGGCCCCTTTTGCATGTCAAATCAGTAACGTACAAACTGTAATCATCTTCTTCATCTGAACTGCAGTACACAGCGCTCGGCTTTAGCGTTACAACATCCACAAGTTCGTCATCATCCTCCTGTAAATTAACAATTGCTTTGAAGTGCAAAATGAGCTGTTGTTGTCAAATGAGAACAGTTTTTATTAAAAAATTAAAAAAAAAAAAAACACTTCCAGCTCAACAAATTAAAATTGCTTTAGAGCCGTCGCGTTTCTAAAGAGGAACTTTAAACTGTACCGGCGCTTTAAATGGGCCCTGAATTGTAAAAAATCTGAGTTGAGCTGATGGTATATATCAAAAAATCGAAAGTAAAAAAAAGGGGAAAAGAGAAGAAATCCGAGCAAAATTAGACAGATGCGCCAACCTTAGATGTTTGCGGAGTTGGTTCATCAGCATCTTCGTCTTCCAAATCAAATTCCGACTCTTTCTCAACATATTTCACATTTTCTTCAAGTTCCGTAAATTCTGGCGCAAATGCACTCCAATTTTCAACATGTGCCTGAATTGCAGCAGAGCTATATGTCTTATAATCTCTCTGAATTAGAATTACTTGAAGTTTCTTCTCTTACTGTGGTTGGTCTTTTCTACTTCTCTCACACATCTGTCATCTTGTTACATGGCTGTTCAGTACATAGCGGGTAGGAGGCTACACTGATGATTCTCGCTCCCATCCGCAAATCGGTCTGCGTTTTTTAGTACAGCTAAGGGATGAAACACAAACTGACAGCATCGTAAAATGTCTAAGTGCAATCCTTTTATTCTACCATTTCTAACAAAATAGTGAAAGCTTCCGGTTTTTAACAAACCTGAGTCCAAACTGAAACAAGACCATTGGCCACTGATAGTATAATGGGACGTGTTGGATGCCACTGAACATCGTATAGCACCTCACCCTTCAATGATAAACAGCAAAATAGGACTGGG